ACTTTCACGTGGCATTCTAATACCCACACATATCACGTGGCATTGCCATTAACGCAGGCAGATAAAACTAATTCAACAACAAGGAATTCTAATAATGCAAATCCAATTGGATAGGAGAGAACCTCTATAGTTATTAGAAGTTAAACATAAACAAGTTACAAGGAAGAAGAAAATTCACAAGTTTGATAAGAACTATCCCGCGGCAATAAACTCTCTCTTCCTTATCATGTATACATGCTTCGAAAGAAACCCCACAAAGTGATCTTAAATTCCTACTCCAATAAATACATTCTAGCAATCTATGCATGCTGATTTGAGGACCATATCCACCTAAATTTCCCCCAAAATTCTTTGAGCAACCAAGCCGAAAATCCCATCACATTCCTCTCCAATAAAATTAACCAAATTCCTCAACATTCTAAAACTTCAAATACCTAAAGTAATCATATAAACTTTCCATAAATTTCTTATTCAACACATACATTCTTGCTATTGAAGCAATATAAACCAATATCCATCTGAGTTTTCTCCAAATTCTCCAAGCAACCAAGCCGGAAATCCCACACTCCTCTCCAATAATATTAACCAAATTCCTCAACATTCTAAAACCTCAACATTCTTGCTATTGAACAGAGAAATTCGTCAGCACGCATAAATCCCCAAATACACAGCCAAACCCTAAAAATCCAAATATGCATAAAATAGAAGCAAAGATTCAAAAACTAAATACCTCCAAATCGATGCTAATCGTCTCAGTAACATGGCGCATAATCGAGTGAACGAGCTTGCTCTTGTTGTACCTCTCCTCGCATGCCTGAATATCCTCTTCCGAAACCCTACAATTGCTCAAATCGATGTAGCCCTGAGGAGATGGAAACGACGGGTGAGGACTGAGGCGGAAGAGGACTGAGGCAGGCGTGAGGAGTGAGGCGGGTGTGAGAGAATGAGAGAGAGAACTTAGGGTTTTCTTTTAAAATATATATATATATATGACCTTAATAAACAGGTCGGGCCGGGTCGGGCCGTGTCGGCACGATAATGGCCCGTATAATTAAACGGGTTAAACGTGTTAAACGGGCTGAGTCTCAGACTATGCCTAATGGAAAGAAGCCTTTATAGATGTGCTTAGTTTAAGTGCACAAATCATATTCACAAAGCACTTCTCTCACTCAAAACACTAACTAAATCATCAATCTTCAGTTCTGACGAGCAATATGAAATCAAACAATCAAGAACATGATAAAATCCTAAACATACATTTATGTCCCTGCAGGCCAATATTTGCAAGCTGAGGTAGATGGTTCGACAGAGATGTTCTTGAGTTTTTAGTGAAAGGAGATGTGGTTACTTACACGGCTGTGGCCCAAAAAAGTCACTTATGTATACCCATTCACCACTTCTTTAGGGGAGTCACAACTATCAAATGATGGTTTCCAAACATAGTCAATAAACAGTTTTAGCTAAACACGTCAAGCTAAATAGATGTTGAATTCATTCCTAAGGTACTCTTACTTGGAGCAACAACAAAGTAATAACGTGTTATGTGCATCTCATAGTCTGAATCTCAGTATAGTTCCATAACCAACAAAGCATAATCAAAATATAAAAACTCTTGCCTCCAACAATATCCCAACACTCCACTACACTACATTGTCTAAGCGGATTATACCAAAACTGACTTAGGCCAAAAGACAAGCTGTCCACATTTAACCATGTTCATATGAGAAAAAAAAATTAAAAACATAAGCAGTGAGGCCTCGTTCTTGTTATGCTTTGTAAGCAGATCAAACTCATTTCAACTAATTACAGGATTTAAACATAGATTTTGATGCTTCATGATGATTCTTCAAACATCACCTATTAAGCCTATTAAAATAAAAAATTTTAAAAGAAGTAAACAAATAACCTGTAAGATTAATGAAATCATATAAACCCATCGTTACAAAATCAAGCAATGGGACTGCAGATCAATAACAAATTCCCTTCATAATCACAGACTGAGTATTGGGGAAATCAATAACAGAAAAAATAACCAAAAATTTCCTTCATAATCACATACCAAATCAGATCTACTGGTTGGGAGAAATTATGAGCAAATGATCCGAAAATCAGAAAAAATAACCAACTAAACACCTGGAGGAGGGCATACCTCGGTTGATTTAGGGGAGGAGGGCCGGAAATTCGTCGATCATGAAAAAACCTTCTACAAATTCACGATCAGATCAGGTGAGGAGAGAAGATGAGGAGATCAGATTAGGCGACTTCAACGTGAGAAGAGATGAGCTCATAACAGCGAATGTGGAGGGAAGATGAGAGGGAGATCGGCTATTTCAGAGAGGAGTCGAAGGAAATCTGGTGGACAAAATGAAAACAAGAAAAATAAAAATGATAAAAACTCGTTTTCAGAAACCTAAGATAAAAGAGGAAATGAAAATGGGTGTTCTCAGTGTTGTTTTTGGGAAAATGGGTCACCAAACATAATCTTCACAACGTTTCCGTTTTTACTCCTCGGAAAACGTGAAAAAGTTTACAAAAATGAAAACAAACACACCCATTGTTTTTTGTTTTCGTTTCCGTTTTCAAAACTTTTATTAAACAAGCGCAATTTATAGACCGTTTTCATTTTTGTGCCTCAAAAGACGTGTGGAAACGTTTTTGAAAATAACTCCAAACACACCCAATGTTTTTGGAATAAGAAATGTGTCTAGCAATCCCAAAGAAAAGAAAAAAGAAAAAAAAAAACGTTAAAGAAAAGAAAAAAAAAAGACAAATCACTTTTTTTTCTCTCTCTTTCCATAAGGTTAGGGCCGGTAATATGAGTCATGATATAACAACATGACACAAATTTCGTGGGTTAGGGTTGAGAAAAAAGAGGTTCGGGTCAGAATTGGGTCGACCCGAAATTGACACAAAAAACACTGATCAATTTCGAGTTGGACCCGCCTAACCCGAACACAACACGAAACTCGTAAAAAACTAAAAAATACATATATTTTTTGGTATATATTTTTGTTTTTATTATGAACTTGTGATATCATGAAAGTTATACTCAAAATCTTATACTAATATTTGCTTAATTTCAAAGGATGTTATTGTATTTTAGTGTGTTATGAATTTTAAGTTATTTTTAATATGTAAAAAACTAAATAAAAGTATACAATTTTCGTGTCAATTTCAAGTTCGCAGGTCAATTTCGTGTCACGTGTCATTTTCGTGTCGTGTTGTGTCAACCCATAAAGTGGTCGTATCGTGTTAACTCATAAAATGATCGTGTCGTGTTCGTGTTGCGGTTTGTAAAAAAATTCATATCACATGTCGTGTTCGAATTTACTGTAAATTTAAAAAAAATGATCAAATTAATCACAACATGAATACGACATGTGATAAAGCACTTGAGACGGCTATCAAAACAAATTTTATCGATAAAATTTTGTTGGAGGATGGCCTAATTTCTCCTGCTGTTCAATTGTATTTAGCAATCTCGTTTTTGGTTTAGCACTCTCTTTTTTACAATTAATTTTTTGTTTAACACGCATGTTTTTAATTTCTTTTTACATAATAATTACGTAAGTAGGCTGGAATTAGACGTCTCTATTCCTCACCAGCCAAGGCTTAATATTTAACCCCTGCAGGTTAAAGCTGTAAAAATTGCGTGCAATTTGTGCTTGAAACAGTTTTTTTTTTTTTTTTTTTTTACCCCGAGATTAAAGCTCCAACTTAGTTTTTACATGTACTAAAAAAATAAAACAAAAAAAAGTTGGGTTTTTACATGAGAGAATGTTGTAACACTACAATTTACCTCTTTTTAATTTTTAAAAGTGGAACGAACATTGTGGATCATTAACTAAACAATAAAATAGGTTGAATTTTCTCATAATCTTCCTTATACAAATCTACATCACTTTATTCACATTTAAAATCAAAAAAGTGTTTTTTCCTAAAAGAAATCATAAAAGCGTTACCAAAATAGACCTACATATATATATATATATATAATAGAGCTGAAAAAATAGACTAAAATATAAACGATGCAACTTTAATCGAATAATCATAGGCTTAACCCCATGTTCACAAATCAAACACTGCCACGACCTTCAAAAGAAACATAATTAACAATAACTATTAGAATCCCACATTGGCTAGAGATATTGGCATGATTCACTTAATAAGGTGAAGGCAATCCTCTCCTAATAAGCCGGTTTTGTTAGGTTGAGTTAGGTCCAATATCCTTTAATTTCTGTAAAATGGTATCAAAGCAGGCTCAGTTTTGCAATGTTGGGTCCCCCAATATCGACTTATTCGCAGCGGTTTAGCATGGTCCACGCTGTGCGTGAGGGGGCGTATTAGAATCCCACATTAGCTGGAGATATTGGCATGATCCACTTAATAAGGTGAGGACAATTTTCTCCTAACAAGCCAGTTTTATTAGGTTGAATTAGGCTCAATATCCTTTGATTTCTGTAAAAATAACTAAACACAATTCTTAACACATATACCAATCAGTATTTTTGTCCTTTCTTTTTCTTAAACTTTTTTTCCCATGTCTAGATTAGGTTTGAGACGACAGTCTCGCAAGCTGTGGTCCACATGTCGCATCTTGGACATAAAAGAGAATTATTGCCACACCAATATACCATACTCTCATATCATACATACATACATACATACATACATACATACATACATACATACATACATACATACATACATACATACATACATACATACATACATACATACATACATACATACATACATACATACATAATATATATATATATATACACACACACATACACATGCATATGCAGGTCAAAATCCACAATACAACCTACACAAACTAGAGATAGACACGTACAATAATGCACAACCAAATTTATATAATATATGGTCACTTACAAAAGTCCAATTACACATTACCATAATCTTACTTTTACCTATCTTACATTTCTCTCTTTTCTTTTCTTTTCTTTTCTTTTCTTCTCTTTTCTTCCACAGGCATGGCAGCTCTCTCCAATTTCCTTGCCAGCCTCTACACCATGTCCCTCGTCTTCTTCACCCTCCTCCTCCTCGAATTCCTAACCCTAATCCGATCGGTCACCGGCTCGAAGCCGAAACCCGACAAGTGCGTCATAACCACCGCGCTGTACCTTAAGCTCATTGATGACAAGAACCCCGCCGCCATATTCCGGAAGATACAGAGGTCGCCGGCGCCGGAGATGTGGCCGGAGTGTAGGGTTTGCCTGTCGGAGTTGGAGGAAGGGGAGAAGATCAGGAGGCTTCAATGTGACCATGTTTTCCACAAGGACTGCCTGGACACGTGGCTCCAGCAATACTGCGCCACGTGTCCGCTGTGCCGGACGAAGGTGTTGCCGGACGACGTCGTCGCGAGCTACCGGCGGATGAGGAACCAGGTGGAGTATGATGGGAATGAGGAGGAGCTCATTTTCTTCTTTTCTGCATTACATGGTAACAGCTTCCACAGATTGTATTTCTGATTTTTTTTTTTTTCTTTTGGGTAAAAGTTTGGAAGTTTTTTTTTTTCGTGAATTTTTTTCCCTTTGTAATTTAGCAGCATAAGTTGCTGCTCTGTTCCTTAAATTTCATTTGTTGTACAGCTTTTTTTTCACAAAAAAAAAAAAAAAAAAATGTATGTCTAATTGAGAGATTCTGAGGAAAATTAATTAGTTAATTGAGAGATTTAATTTTCTTAAAAGAATTGCTGGCCTTTCTTTTTGAGTGAATTGTGATGGTGTCTCCAATAATGGGATCCTACCTTATGCCCACTAATTAGTGCTGTTTTGGTAGTTTTGTATTGTCGATGTTTTTAATTCGTAAATTTAAAATTTTAATTTATATTAAAATATAATATTTTATGAAAATTTTTAATTATGATAAAAAAATTAAATGTGATATTTTTAAAAAATTTATTATATTTTTTTTTGAATTGTGAAGACGAAAACGAAGACTTGGAGTCTACTTTATTTCATTTACGTTGTGTCTTAATCTGCAAAATCTGGAAAACTACGCCCAAAATGCTTGATTGATACTCCACAGTAAATATCTAAGATATAAGATTTTTTTTTTTTTTTGGGTAATGCTGATTGGAGCCGAGGAAATATCTAAGATAGAAGAAATTGTTTTTTTTTTTTTTTTCGAGGATAAAAATATCATATCAGTAACAGTGAGAGAGTGGAGTAGAAATAGGGTTTTACTCGAAAAATTATTGAACTATCCAAGTGGATTCTTTTGTAGGCGACAGTAAAAATAAAAAAAAATAATAATAATAATATCTAGAGTTGCTACATTGTTTTTTTACGGTAAAATCTACACAATTTTCGGTTAATTTTATTTTAGGAAAGCTATTTGGCAGGTAAATTCTTGTGAGCTATAGAGAATTGTTAAACTTTCCCTTAAGAATAAGGGATAAAAATTTAAATTTATACACTCTAAAAAAATATTTATCTCTTTTCTCCTTTTAATTAGGCTCCAAAGAAGTTTCTTATTATATTTAATCTAACATGATTTGATTGGATAGTTAAAATATGTATTTGATTTTATTTGACGAATAATCAACATACCTTATCGGTGGGATTATATTTACGTTAGAATTCATACCATATGACAATTTTTCTTTTATTTGTAAAATATATAATTTTTTTTTTTTTTGTGATATGCTTTGATATGATCTAATGATATTTGGGAATTGTGTAATCTTAATCAAGTTTTTTATAATCTACAAAAAAATCATGTAAAATTGAGAAAAAGATAAGAAGAACACATATACTATCATCACTCATTTTTTAAATTATTATGTAGAGAGTAGAGTACAAAAACTAATGGGACCTTGAAAAAAAAAAAAAAAAAAAAAAAAAACTAAAATTCATGTTTTTTTTTTTTATAAAATCCTGCAAAGCTTTGAGGAAATGTACTCCATGATATCCACGTTAAGAGTCCTGAGATTTTGTGAATGAAAATAGAAGCACCAAAGATAATTTATGGAAGGACACAACTCATTTATTACATCTTATCTATTATTCAATAATTGACTTGTCAGCTCTAAATTACATATTTAACTTATATGAGTTTTACGCAGCAAATAAAACTGCCATACTACATAAAACAGAAGTGGTTTTTTTTTTTCAATGATTAGTGTACTTCTCAATAATCATCAAATCAAAATCTCATTACAGTTTTTTTTTTTTAAAAAAAAACAGAAAGCGACTGTTTTTATCGTTAAAGTTAGTTTTTAACTGAATTGATGAGGATTATATCAGACAATTTTTAATACAGTTTGATATGAAAATATAAACTTTTTAATAATTCATTTTTCAGGAACTACCAGTGAAACTTAAGTCTGCCGTTAGAATCTTAACTGTTTAAGGCAACCTCAATAACATATGTGCAGCTTTACTTCCGCATTGGAATATTCCTCGAACTACTTGATGTAAATGTCGGCGAAATGTATTTACGTAGTGCTTGCTTTTGAGGAGAGTGCAAAAGTAGGTGCAGTATTTTATATATATAAAGTAGTTATGACCAACCACAAATTTACTACACTTGGTAGAGCTTATAATGACGTTATATGGTGGAAAATTTATTGATGAGTGGGTACTAAGGAGAAAAAGGATGGTCCCACTCTAACCAATCAAAGTGGCCACAGTTTATAATATTTATTTTCTGTATTCGTCTTTGATTCTGAATCATGATTCATAGTTCTTTACAGTGTTTTTCTCTCAAAAAATACACGTAAAACGAGAATAGTTCTGAATAATAATTTTGAATCCATAAACTAAACGTACACTAAACTGTTTAATTGAACACCGTGCTCATCACTATTTGGTAGAACTAGAAATATTTTCAAATATAAAAATAAAATGGAAATGAAAAAAAAAAAAAAAAGAAATTGGAGTTAGAAACTAGGTGGAATTTTGCACCCCATCCCTTCTAAAATATTCAGGGTTAAATATATCGAGCACTATCTCAAGAAAAGCAAAATGTTGTTGCAACTGGCAATATTAAACGATACTGTATTATAACAGGAGTAGCAGAGGACCACTATGAGACTTACATTATTCATCGATTTATTTCTCAAACGAATCGTACAACAAAGAAAATCGATGAACCCGAATAAAAGAGCTTATCCTGCTCATGACTCATGAGTAGATATTTTGTAGTAGCCTCATGACTTCGAATTTATTAACTATAATGTATCACATCTTGCTTTATAATATAATTTTGTCTTGTAATTCAAATAATCTCATTCTGTCCGATCCAATCCCGCTCAATAAAATAGTAAAGTTTTGGGCCCGTTCACTTCGTTGATTCGAGTTTGTAATTCGAGTTGAGATGTGATTTTATGTGAGAATTTTTTACTGTAGCAAAAAAGTTAGATGTGACTGTTTCTGATAAGTTTTTACTGTAACAAAACTCGAATCGGTGAAATGAACGGGGCCTTAGACTTAAGCTAGCGAAAAATAGACCGGGGCTGAAGGTTCATCTAATAAACTCTGCACAATCTGATTTATTTTTTTATTTTAGATCTTTTTTTCTTTTTAATTTTTTTAAAATATGCTTGTTTTTAACTATTTAATCTCTTTTAGAGCACCCCGCATGTCACTCTCGTATTGGATTTCGTCTCAAAATAAAAAATTTATCCAAAAAAAATATCGAAGTTGTATATTTCAAAAACATTGACCTCTATATTAATAAAAAAAAGGAAAAAAATGACAAGAGGCTAAAGTAAGACCAATACATATTCTCAGCGACTATTGACGAAAAATAACCCTTTGATTAGAAAATTTTGATAAATGACGCAATGTCTTTTAGTGTAACTAAAAAAAAAATGCGTAACAATAGTTACTCTTTGAGAGCAAGAAAAATGATTTTTTTTAAGGTCCTATAAATGTTTTTTTTTTTCTGCACTACAAAAAAAGAACTTAAATAAACAATTTATGCAAGTATCTAAATTATAGTTTTGAAAATTTCAAAAATCATGTATATTATTGATGCGAAATTATTATTTTATTAATATTATTAAGGATTTTATTTAATGTTCTCTCTTTTTTAGAAATACCAGTATTCTCTGTTTATCAGTCGTCAGATTTATATTAAATCTAGTCAAAAGTCAAATCAAATTGAAAAATAATACAAATCTGACGGCTGAAGCAGGAAACACTAGTGTTAAAAAAAGAAAAAAACACTAAAAAAATTGTATTATTATTATTATTATTATTATTATTTTGAAAGGAGATGCGAAATTTATTTGAAAACGGTTTTCGGGTATATATTTAGCTAATGTTTTCCATTTTAAAAAACATGAGATCGTTGTTCCAATATTGTCCTTGATTGGATAATTGACATCCAAGTCAACGGAAGACCAACTTGAGTCATTCGTCAAATTATTTGCTGTCCTGTCTGATTGAAGATTTTATTCATTTATTGGACCATTGCCAGAATACTTATCCTCTTGTTCCCTTTGCTTTCATTGTTCTCCATATATGTGTGCGTTATATAAATATGAAAGAAAAATGGCTGAACTTTGATTTTTATCTAGTGACATTCTTTTGATCGAACTTTTTTTTTTATATATTTTCTTTGATCGTTAAATTTTCTAAAAAATTTCGTAATACCGTTCTTTAAAATGATAAATAACTGTTTATGCCACTAAAATATGTGTACAATAATAAATTTTTCTTCTCGAACAAATTATACAACAAGCACATTAATCTTATGTAAAAAAAAAAATCGATATTTATTGAATACTATGTTCTATTGTTTTCATTATTTTATTAATTTACTCTATTCTCCCTTATTTATCTCATGCCTTTAATTTGCATTTTAACCTCCCTTTTGTCCACAACCATTTTATTTCTGTTCGGTTTTATAATTGACAATTTTGAATTGTTCAAAGTGTCACATTCAACTACTATAATTTCTCAAATACATCCACTAAAAGTATAAGAACAAATATTTCGAACAAGGAAAAAATGGATATAGCAGAAGATAAGTCATAACTAATTATGTTTTTTTCTTGGCCAACATTAATGTAATTTTTCTTTCAAAAATTATGAAGTTCCAAACTGATTTTTTGCTAAAACTATTGGAAAAAGAAAAAAAATCAGTTATTTTGTTTAGCTCCCCGTTTTGTCACATGAACGGAAATAGTAGAAAATAGGCCAATATGAAAAACTTAAGAAAATATATAGGCCAATTTTTAGTTATAGAAATTAATATGACATAACTTGTCAAGTTATGATTCATAACTAGATAAGTTATGGGCAAACTTGTCAAGTTATGGTTCATAACCAGACAAGTTATGGACAAAAATCGTGAATTATGGACAATAACTTATCAAGATATGGTTCATAACCAGACAAGTTATGGACAAAAACAGTAATTTGGCCTATTTATTAACTTATGTAAACTATTGACCTATTAATTTTAATTCATCTCAAGTCTTAACTTATTTTCTTCTTTCTCCCTTTTCAAAATATTG